CCCCCACACGCATGCACACTCACCCACGCCCACCCGCCCACGCACACTCACCCAACCCACACCTCTATTCCCACATTACCCCTCCACACGCACGCCCACGCTCAGTCAAGGACGCGCTTGTGCACACATGCACGGCGCACACTCATGCTCAGACACACTGAGGCATCGGTGGTCACAGACAAAACACACTTGGCCGAAGTTCCCACATCACGCAGCTCTGGGGCGTGGCTGATGCGCCTCAACATTGGGGGGGGGTGGACGCGGGACACAGACAGGCCAGGATGGGGGTGGAGGGGCTGGCGCCAGGCCCCTACCTGTTTCTCCGTGCAGGAGGCCAGGCCCTGGCTCCAGGCCATCGGCCTCCCCGTCAGACACCTCCAGCGGGGGGCTCTGCCGCTCGCCCTCCTCCTCATCCGAGCTGGGCTGGGCCGGGGACAGGGAGGGGTACGGGAGGCACATCCGGGGTATGTAGGGGACCTGGAAAAGAGGTCTGGTCAGTGGGGGTCAGAGAAGGCCCAGGGCAGCTGAGTGGGAGAAGAGGGAAGGCTGAAGACAGGCAGCCAGAGGGGCGGGAAGATTTTGGCGAAGGCTGGGGTTGGGGGTCGGTGGTTCCAGAGGTTAGGGGGGCAGCACACAGAGGGTGCAGGTGTCGGCATCAGGGCCACTGGATGCCCACCAAGCTGGGACTCCTGGCTCCAGGCCGAGCATCACAGGGCAGGGACACACGTGCTGTCTCGGTGGGCAGACAGGGGGTTCAAAGAAGAGGGAGCTGGGTCCGGAGTGAGTGGGCTCTAGTGTGTACGTGAGGGGCCATGGAGGGCAGTCAGTGAGGGGCAGCGCAGCCCACACAGGACACTGCCTGGGGTGAGCGTCCCTGAGACCGAGGCGGGGCCGGTGGCCGCAGGCGGCAGAGGTCATGGGGGTCAGTGTTCAGGGTGTTGGGTGTGAGGTCGTGAGGGGCCTGTGAATAGCGCCAGTCAGTGAGGGCGGGGGGACCACTGGGGTTGGCAGGATGAGTGTATGTGCTTGGGGGGTGTTAGTTGGGCTCTGTCCACCATGGGGTGAGAGGAGATAAGGGGTGTGGCGTCACAAGGTCAGTCGGAGGGTCAGGAGGCAGCCGTTGGGCTTCGGCCCGTTGGTGCTGTGAGGCAGGAAGCTGGGTTGAGTAAGAGCCTGTGTCAGCTTCCTGTGAAGCGCAGGGCCTCACCGCAGGCCGCGGGCCCCTGCGGGGCGGCCAGCACGCACCTGGTGGCTGAGGCTGGTGTGGGGGGGCGCCATGGGAGTGTCCAGCACGTGCATCTGCTCCAGCTCCATGTGGCGGTAGAGCTGCTGCAGCTGTGGGGGCTGCACGCTCTGCAGCTCCGTGAAGTGGTTCTCGGCGAAGTTCTCAAACTCACTGTGCATGTGGTGCGGGTGGAAGTCCCAGTAATGGTCTGTGGGAGGGCCAGGAGGTCGGGGTCAGCGGGGCGGCCAGGCAGGGCACGGCAGGCTTGTGCCCATTAGAAGGAGGCCAGGCCGTGCGGCCCTACTGGCGCGGGTCTGGAGGACGCCCAGTTGACACCCAACTTCTCACCACCCCTTCATCTTATGACCCCATATTATAGATGAAGACACCAAGGCTGGAGAGGCAGAGGCGGAGGCAAAACCCAGCTGCCCACAGGCCTGGAGCCGTGCCTGTGTCCCCTTCGAGCAGGGTTCGAATCCCGGCTCTGCCACTTACGGTCTGTGTGACCTCAGTTGACTCACCTGTAAAATGGGGATAATGAGTTCCTGTTCTAAAACGCCTAGCCCCAGAGTAGGCCCTCAGGGGGGAATGTTGAGTGGCCTCCCCTCCTCTTAAGGCCTCTCAGTGATGCCTGAGCTGACAGACTACCCACAGTCTCACACTCATACTGCGGTGTCACATGGTCACAGTGTGACTGCAGTCACAGGGCTGACATTCCTTACACACCACAACTTGCCTGCTCCTCTGACGGGTGCTGCCCTTCAGGGCCATGCCATTGGGCATGGCGCCTGGGCCTGGTGAGGTGGCCAGAACAAGGCTTTCCTGGAAACTCCCTTGTGTTTTCAGAGGTCTGTGGTAAGTGGATTTGTGTGTGGGGAATAGCCCCTTGCCATGGGGACACGGGATAGGGTAGGTTTCTTCATGGTTTCTCTGGGCACCTTTTCCAGGAACAAAAACTGGAACCTGTCTGCAGACTTCCTCGATCCAATTTGGAGTCACAAAAAAAGATACGATGATAAAACGACAAGACGGATTTTCTCAGGTGACCCACGAGGGTCTGCGCCATGCTTGACCGGCCCAGGCAGCGTCTCTGGGACAAGCACACGGGCCACACACATGTGCACGGGCATGCCTGGCACCCTTGTTCTCTCGCTCCAGCACACACTCCGACACCCCTGAGAACTAACATGGGCGGGAGACTCACTCTCAGCCCTGCTTGGTGGTGGCTGCGCCATGTGATCCTGGACAAGACGTCTAGTCTCCCCAAGGCTCTGATCCCCCCAATCTCAAAGTCAAGATACCCAGGGGGTCATTACGGAGGTCCAATCCACATGTGAAACCATCCAAAACCCACATCCAGGCAGCCCAGACCCCAAGACCCTGACAGCGCCCACAGGGGAGTTTCTGGGAAGCCTGGGATCCCTGCCACCTTTCTGAGCAGGGGAGCTCTGGGGTGTGAGACATGCCAGCCGCTTGGCTGTGCAGTCACGTGGCCTGCCTGGACAAGATTGGGGCACAGAGGAAATTCCACGATGTGGAGTGAGGTGTAGCTGGACTCGGTCCTGCCGTGGGGTGCCGGCTGTGTGACGCCGGGCAGTTCATGACACTTCTCTGAGCCTGTTTCCTCATCTGTCAGATGGGGCTACAAGGAATGCCGTTTCATGGGCTTTTTGTGAGGATGCAATGGCTGAATGCCTGTGAGGTGCGTAGCTAGCACCTGTGCCAGGTGTTGGCTCAACGTGCCATCACTGGCATCATCATCGTCACTGTCGTTTTATTCTAAAGGGCTGGGATTGGCACTTGAACAAGCAGCAGAGGCTTGGCTATGTTTATTTCCTCTGCTCCCTGCCATCTTAATCAGTGACCAGAGAAATAGTTTGGGGGTCCTGGCTGTCACTATCCCCGATTTGGGGATTTGGAGCCCCAGCCTGGCCCCCTGAGGCCAGTGATTGGCTTTGTTTACCTGCCACCGCTTTCCAGGAGACACTCGGCAGACATGGCCCAAGTAAATGAATTAATGAACCCTCTGTGACTCTCCTCCATAAAACTATCTAAGCCCTGGTGGCGCAGCGGGTTCGGGCACTGCACTGCAAAGCTCAGCCAAGCTGTGGCTGCTTCAGTGCGAGTTCGCCCCCCGGGCCAGGGAGCTGACCCCCATGGCACAGCAGACCTCTCCTGTCTCACCCGCTGCTCCCCTCAGCAGTGTACTTTGTCTATTTTTGCTTGTTCTGCTCCCCGCACTGTCTTTGGCGAATCCACTCACCCCCTGCACCTTTGGCCTGTATCCCAGTTCTGTATGCATAAATAAATCTTTTTTAAAAAGTTATCTGGGTCCTCCCTGGTGGCGCAGCAGGTTAAAGCACAGCACTGAGAAGCTAAAGCCACTTCAGCATGAGTTCAATCCCCAGCCCCGGAGCTGACCCACATGGCACGGCAGACCTCTCCTGACCCGCCCGCTGCTCCCCTCAGCAGTGTACTTTGTCAGTCAGCCTGTGCTGCTCCCCACTCTGTCTCTGGTGAAGCCTCTCGCCGCCCCTGAGCCTCTGGCCTGTACCCCAGTTCTGGATGCACAAATAAAAAAAAAATCTTTAAAAAAAAAAGGTATCTAAACCCAAAGTCTTTGTACTTCATAAGATCCAGGCCCTTTCCACTGGCTGCGGGAGACTTGGGTGTCCCTTAGGGAGGGCTCTTTGGGGCCCCGGGGTCTGGTGGGTAGATCTGGGTTTCTCTTTAGCTGTAGGCCCATCGTCTGGTACTATGCCTTGGGCTTCCCATTTTTGCCTTCTCCTGGTCTGGTGAAGCACCCAGGTCCTCACAGAATGTGTCATCGTCCCTCACACCCACTGCAGGTCCAGGGCTGGGGAGGCCTGTGTGGGTGAGGGGCCCCATTGCACCTCTTCCTCCTGCTTTCCGCTCCTGCTCTCGCTCGGCCTGAGAGCCAGAATCCATGGTTACAGCCTGGGGCCAACATTCCCAAAGCAGGTTTTAGGACACCTTCATCAGGCTCATTTTGGGGGCTGGAAAGTCTTTAGTTTTTCAGGACCCGCTGGAGACCCACTGAATCCAAAATGCTCAGAGAGAAGCCAGGAGTCTGCGATTTAGCAGGGTCCTGAAGAGGTTCCCTGGCTCACTGAGGCTCTGGAACCCAGCCCCAGGCACCCCGATAGCTGCGGTGGACACTCTTGAGCACAAGGAGGGTTTCAAAAAGCCCCACAGAAACCTGGCCTTTGCCCTTGATTTGAGTGCGTGGGCAATTATGTAATAAACGCTGTTTGGCAGGCAGAAAGGTCCCCACGTGTGGGCCCTCTGATGAGGCCCTCTGATGGACACAGCATGAGGAACCCTTTGTAGTGCGAAGGTCAGCACTCCGGCTCCAGATGGCTGTTCACGAACGCATTGATTTAGGCCTTTTTGCCCCTTCAGAGGACCACCTAGGCCACTGTACATTTCAAGCCCTGGTGACATGATGCTGCTCCCCCAAAGAACATAATGTTGTTTGTATGTCTGAAGCTAGCCCTGGCTCTCCACTTGGCAGCCTGTCAGACACCAAACACCAAAGAAGCCTCCATCGACAATTAAATGACAAATGAAAGCTAACTTTTCATGTGTTTTTTATGCGCTGGTCACTGTGCTAAGAACTTAACACATGTTTCACCCCACCTTGGCTCTGATAAGGTGGCCAGTTTACCGTGGTCTTCCTTTCCACATGAGGGGATTATGAATCAGAAGCTGAGCCCCCTCTCCACAGTAGCTCTGGCATCCAAGCCCACCTGTGTCTGGCTCCAGGTACTGAACTTCCACCACTGAACAACACCTTGAGAAACAAGACTCTCCAAGCTGCAGGGCTCCGAGGGACACAGAGACCTCAACGACTGCTCCTGTCACTTGTCTGTCTGCCATTACCTGGCCCTCATCCACCATGCACTATGGTCATTCAGCCTTTATTCATCTATTATTCACCCATCCCTCTATCTATCCATCACTCATCTGTGAACATCCTTCTATCCATCCATCATCCAACCAGCAATGACCTACTCATCTTGATCTCTCACTTCCTCTCTACACCAGCTTCCAATCTGGAGCCAAAGTCCTGCCACACTCAGTTTTTTTCATGTCGTGGATACCTGTATGTCACCAGGACAAAAGCAAAATGATACAACAGTCCCATACACAAAAAGTCAAGTCTTAAATGTAATTTAGTTGGTCAGAAACCCCAGCCTGAAGCCTAAGCCTCTCCCCCAGGGGAGTAGAAGTAAGATCAAGAGAGAGAAAGAAGATGAGGAATTACGAAAGCAAAGACTGAGGGAAAAACTTCTGAGGAAACCACAGACCACTGGACAAGACCTCCTGAAGCCCATCCACCCTGCAGGCTGCTCGCTAGGGACACTGAGGCTGAGAGTAGACAACACCAGGCCTCGTGGTGTCTTCCCTTCTATCCTTTCTATCCTGACTGTTATTTCCCTTGTACCAAATATACAGCTGGCAGGACCTGTATTCTGTTCCTTCCACAGCACCTAGCATATAGATGATCTGAGTACCTCTTGACTGGGTGGACAGGTCAGTAGGAAGTGAATGGTTTGATAGGTGGAAGGAAAGACCATGGGAAGGAGAAGGAGTAGACGGTGAGATGGATGTGTGAATAATGGGTGGATTGTTGTAACGGGGATCCCCAGAGAAAGGGGAGGTTCCAGGTTCCCTGCCCCACCCAAGGGAGGGAAAGCTGAGCAGGGGGCAGAAAAAGCTCGAGCAGTAACTGGGGAAGGAAGGAAGCAGGATGGAGGCCAGAGGGGGCCGGGAGGAGGCACATGGAGCAGAGAGACAGGTGAAGAACTGTACTTGCTTCCTGGCCTTGGGCTGGTTGAAACAGACATGGTGAGAGACCTGTGGGGAGGCTGACAATGGTAGCTTTTATCTTGATTTTGATTTTGTTCTTTTCCTTTCAGACTTGTCTGGCCCCTTCAGCCCCTTTCCTAGGCCTCCCCTCACCCCCAGACTTGTGGCAGGCGTTCAGGCCTCAGCGGGCCTGCTTTGGGCTAACCTGTTGGGCGGGGCATTTACCCATGAAGGGATGGGTAACTTTGGGTGCTTGATTTAGAAACTATATTCTTTCCCTTTCGTTGCATACTAGTCGTATTAAAGTTCTCTTCCATTAAAGGTCCTACACACTAGAATGTGTTTTATCTTGATGCAGCAGATGCAGACCTATTT